AGCAGTTCCTCTGTGCCCCCACTTACTTGCTGCGGCCCTCCCCAGGGGCCCCCCACCCCAGCTCACTCCCGTTCCGCCTCCTCCCATGAGTGGAGGCAAGCCTGGAAGGGAAGGGGGAGAAGCAGAGCTGCGGCGCGCTCGTGGGAGGAGGCGAGCTGGGGTGGGGGGGGCCCCTGGGGAGGGCCACAGCAAGTAACGGGGGGCGCAGAGGAACCGCTTGCGCTAACACGAATTCGGATATAACGAGGTAAAGCAGCCCTGTCCCCCGGAGCGCTGCTTTACCGCATTCTATCCGAATTCGCGTTCTATCGGACCACATTATATCGGGGTAGAGGTGTAGTTGTATGACAATGCACAGCAGTGCAACATAGCAGAGATGTTAGTGAGGCTCAATTTTAGACAAATTCTCATTTTGATTACAGAAGTAAACTTCAAAATATTATCTTTGAAGCTGTCTTTTATTTATTTCTTTATTTTTATAAAAGGTGTTTCTCCAGCCCAGAAAGGGATGGGAGAAGTTGCTCCAAAGTAGTTACAACCAACAGAGAGAATTAAAGTTATCACAGAATTTCTGATAGCCCGCCCCAGCAATCTCTATACCAATATTTATTACTATATATTAGATTGTGGGAGTACTGCAAGTATGCTAGACACTCGACACAAAGAGACAGTGCTTGTCCCAAAGACCTTATGACTTAAAAAACTAGAGGAAGGGATGGTGACATAGATATAATATACAAGCAAAGTGACCAGGGTGGGGGATTACCTGCTGAGACGGATTCTCTTTCTGCTTCTTAGGTCGCCCCCCACAATAAAGCTCCTGGAATCCAAACCCCTGGCTGGTTATTCTGATGATTGGCAAAGCAGAACGTAACCCAGCTTTGCTCTTCTGAAGGGCTGATACTAACCAAACCAAGTCTTTCTCCAGTGTAAGTTAAACAGATAAGACTGTGGTGATGGGAACAAAGGTGGACACACATCTGGAAAGGCCAATTTTAGACAGTGTCACTTTTCTCACCACAAACATTTTGATGTCTCAACCCTCTGTTACTGATTAGGAACCCGCCTGGCTACTGGGACACTGTGGGTATCAGAGGGGCACTGCAGATGCTTTCTGTAATAGATGGTATTTACCTTAAGGAGTGGCTGAGATGCAGGCAGCAGGATAGTGGTAGCGAGCGATGCTCAGAAGCATGATAAATTCTACCGCTTACAACATGCCCAAGAGTCGTATACATTTTCTACGGCAGGCTACCCAATGCTCAGGGACAGATACTGAAATAGTTTTCTCTGTCCAATGGAAGGATGGGGGTAAAGCCCACTCCAGTGACTATTCTGGAACACAGGTGAATTGGCTTAACTAGTCACAGGCAAAAATGCCTTTGTTAATACAGAATTGAGGTTGCAGGTGCTCAACACTCTCCTGTGCCCCTCTTGCCCTTCCAGTATGGGAGAGCTTAAGTTCTGAAAATGCAGGTGTTGCAGAACAAGGCAGTGTGGTGCTAATGTTAGCACTACAAGAGAAAATCCTCAAACATCAGAAAGCCAGGAAATGCAATTAAGGCCATACTTCCCACACAACATAACCTTCACTCCACCCCCTTGGATCCCCACAGTGAGGAGTCCCTCATGCAAATCTCAAGAGGAGGCAATGGGGTTGGAGGCCTCCCTACACATTTTTGTCCAACTAGCAGCAAGTAGTTCCCACAGCAATGGTGCTGCTCAGAGGGTATGAACAGGTGAGCCAATTTAAAGTGCCGTGAGCACACAGAAAACAACAGCTTTTGACAGGGACAGATGATGTCCTGTGATGCTCCTCTTGGGACCTCTACCCGGGTAGAATTGAGGTTGTGAGGCTTGAACCATTCCTGCAGCCTTCCTAGGATGATAATTAGAGAGCTGGAAGAATCCTGAGAACCACACAGGTTAGGAAAAGCAGTAGCAGACCTTTAGTGTGCGATGCACCATCCCCAGGAAATATGTATGAGTCTTCCAGCTTTGTGATGTCATACAGACAGATGCAGAGGCCAACATTGTACACAACCTGTTCAGAGAAAAGCCAATGAGCAATAAATCCCTGGAACCTGAAGTTGTAAATCCCCTCAAATCTCTTCCCCACGCCACTCTCACACACAAGTTTTTAAAGCAGGAAGCTCATGCAAATGGCCAACCAGATGAACTGCCACAGGAGGAACTGGACAAGAGACCCATGTGCATCAGATAAGAGCACTGTAGAGGTGCAGGCCTCAGCTCTTGCAGGGAAAAGACAGCGCACACTCATCATCACCTTCTAGGGACCCCTCTGGCTTTCTCAGAGGCATCGGAGGGCATGTGTTGACCTACTCCAGAAACAGCACTGCTGCAACCTGAGCCTTTTAGGAGGTTGTCAAAGATGGGAAAATGGGAGAAGTGAGCCCTGTGAGTGGCTTAAATAACCACCACCCCACTGAATGAGAAATGCAGCATTTCCAGAACTAGCTGTTCCAAAGGCCAGAAACTCCCCTTGCTGGGTAGTCATGCCCTGGAATCCCTTTCTGTAAGAGACATGCTTCACTCAGAACTCATGAAGACAGCGCAGGTGAAGAAAGCCGCCGCCCCATCCCCCACAAATCAGGCTACACCCACCATTAACTCTAGACCCATCAGTTGATACTCAGGTCAGAAGGAGCTTGCCTATATCATACAACATAGGTATTTTCAAAATACTGAAAATACTAAAGATGTCAGTATACCCTATGGGCTTGGGGCTGCCTCTCAAACCAAATTACAAATAGAAGAGACCTAGTAGGTCCCAACTTGCCCATTCATCTCTATCAGTGGAAGATGATTCCCTACAGTGTATTAAAATGTCCCAACAACGGGGCTTCTGCCATTCCTTTAGGAGATTGCTCCTCAGCCTATCAGAAATCTTTTCTGATGTTCAGTTCTGCTTAGTTTTATCCTAGTCAAGTCCCCAACCCACAAAAGACCCTGAACCACGGCTTTGGAGCGGAGCCTGGAGCTGGAGCACGGACCAGTAGGTTTTTGTCCGGAGCCAGAGTGGAGCAATTCAAAAATTTGATTGCTCCAAATCCCTGCCCTGAACATTCCCTCTCTTTCTTGGTTGTTCAAACACTTGTAGACATCATCCCATCTCAAGTCACTGGTGGCCAACTGAGACATGTTTAATAATCTCTCCACATAAGTCACTCTTCATAGCCTCGATCATTCTTGTTGCTCTTCTCTGAACTCCCTTCAGTTTATCAGTTACCTGTGTAGAACTGAATGCTGCATTCTAATCATAGTCCCAGCAGTTCTATATACAAGGGGCGGTGACCTCTCTGCTCTGTGGTGTGATGCCTTTTTATATGCTGTACCAAATCTCATCAGCTTTTTTGTTGCCAGATCACATTTCAGATGCTTAGTGCACAGCAGTGAAATACTATCACCCCGTGATTTCTTTCAACATTACTGCCTTAAAGGTATTTCTCCCTCCAAGATGTGTAAGTTTGCATTTTTCCAGGCTGAGTCTCCTATTGCTACTTCCTACTCCTGCGAACTACTCTAAGTTCCCTTCATTATTTCTCTGCTTCACCCGGCATCCTTCTCAGTTCAGTATTCCCTCAGAATATCATTACTGTGCTCTTTACCCTCCTTCTTCTACATAATTTGAGATCACATTAAATAACGCAAGAGCCATCACCTTCTCAAACTCTATATTTTTGATCATTTACCCTTTGTAGATGGTCCCTTAGGTAGTTTTCAGTCTTTGTAATCGTCCTCATATCCAAACCATTCTGAATTTAATTTTTTGCTGCTTACGCAGTCACCCACAACTGCACAACAGTCTGGTTCATGTGTTCAGTGCTCTAAGCTTTACCTTATTAGCTAACTTCTTATTTAGCTCTTCGGCAATGGAGTCATTGAGTTTCATTTCAAACTGCCACGGAGGAATCCGTACCGTATCCATCATCTCCACTAGAACAAACATAGTGGCTAGTAGCAAGTGTCCCTGGAGAAAGAGAGCAGAGGGCCAATAAGGCCTGGTCTACATTACAAAGCTATGTTGGCTAGGAGTGGGGGGAGGAGGGAAATTTAAAAAAAAAAAAAAAATTCACACACATCCAGCTGATAGAGCTATGCCGGAAAATCCACCAGAATGCACGCAACTATGCTGACAGAAGCATGCTTCTGTTGGCATAATTAATGTTGCTTGGGGAGGTAGTGTAGCTATGCCAGGAAAACTCTCTATGCAGGCCAAGGCTCTGTACTGTAGATAAACCCTAAAAGCAGAAGGACCCTTTCAGATCAGGGGTGGGCCTAGGATCCTGATAGCTTGGTTGGGTGAGGTGTCTGGGAAATCGTTCAGTTCCTGCACTGTAGGCACTTCATTCGCATAGAATATCTATAAAATCTGGCAGGTTCAATCAAAAACTCATGTGATTCAGCTATGGAGCAAAATGATCCTTTAGGTTCACTTTGCTAGAGGTCCTGCCCAGTGAACCCCAAATGGTAACTTTCTATTTTTCCATTCAAGTCTCCAGCTCAATCCTCTATAATCATGAGCCCTTTGGGACAAAGATCATCTCTTCTTTATACACATGCACAGTGCCTAGCAACTGGGCTTCTAAGTATTACCCAATATGACAACTAAGAAAGGGATCATCATCATTGCTGAGGGCAACTCCACAAGACAAGCCCAAGTGTTAGTGAGGATGTGTCCCCCCTACTGGCTGTGAAAGGAAGGGCTCCTGAGAGAGCATGACTGACGGGAACTCTGGTTTTTAACTTATCCAGAAGATTCTGCACCACTCCACTACTTGCCTAAAGGAAAGATTAGGCCACTGTCAAAGATGCCACCTGGCCATTGTCACATAAAAGTGATCTTCAATTGTGGGTTGGGGGGAAAAAATGGCATTCATTCGTGCAAACTCAGGAGCAACCATTTGAACCCACACTGTCTGAGGCCCCCCACCCCACTAAAATATGATCCCCCACATATAGGAACAAAGGAAAATCATTTGCTTTTTTTTTTAAAGCAGTTGGAAATAGCTATTAAAGTGATGGGCACATTACAAATCCCTAAATTAGATACTGTAGTGAACATAAATTGATCCTTAATTACAATATGCCAGATGCTCACATGCTCCAATGTTAGGTAGTTAACAATTCTGGCCTTTTTTCCACATCTGTAGAAATGCCAATCATTTGTAATACAGTACTTAGAGGCTAGTGCCAACCAACCTCTGCCCCTCCCCTCAGAAAGAGATACATTCCCTACTACCTACCACCACGAAAGCTTAAATACAGCTCCAAACACAGGAGAGAGATGGGCTAACCTCTTAAAATGTCATTACTGAGCTAAGCAGTTAGGGTGATAGATTCTTTTCTCCTGCTGCCATCTGAGGTCCCCTAAAGATTTTTCTTCTAGCGTTTGACTTGCCATAGGAGAGAAATGAGGGTTATATGTATTTTAAGATTTCCCTGCTGCACCTGGATAAGTCAAATCTGACAACACAGGAAAGGGACTTGGACAAAAACTGAGTAGCACGGAACAGGACAGGAAAAATCAGTTTGGATTAGTTACTCCACGGATAGTCAACAGGCGGACTGTGGGACACATCCGGACTACCAGTCACCTTTGAACAGACCTCCAAAATATTTTTTATTTATTTATCATTATTGGGGATTTATTATTTTCTTCTCTGTAATCTGTATTTGGCTATACCTTAATGAAGAAATTTGGACCCTGACAAAAAATAATGGTCTACCCCAAGTTACTCCTAGCAGAGCCCAACGCGAGTTTTTGTATCAGACACACGAACTCTGGGCCAGCAAAGGGGCACCGAGCTCTTCCCCTTGAGGGTGATGGCTTCAGTTCAACCTCGGGTCACATCTCACAAGCAGGAAAAACTTCCCAGCTGCACCCGAGGGGCAGCCGGGGCAGGACAAGCTTGGGAGAGGCCCCTCAGCTGGGGAACCCGCTAGCGCCGGGGGATCAGCGCAAACCCGGATCGCACACAGGCCCGTCGCTGTCCCGAGGCCTTTCCCCCCTAAGGGAAGCTGCCAGCGGCCTCCCACCCGGGCCGGTCACTGCGCGCTGCCCCAGCGCTCTCGTTCCCCCGCCCCTGGCACTAGCCTCACCCTCGCGGGCCCGGATAGCGGCGCAGGACAGCGCAGCATCCGCGCGGGCTGCGCTCGCCCCCCTTTCCCTCCCCGCGCGGGACAGTCGGGCTCGCGCAGAGCCGCCCCCCCGCCCCTGGGGCAGCGGCCCAGCAGAAACCCCCCCGCCCTCTTCTCCGTGCCCAGGGGGCTAACGGGCCCGCGCGTGGCCCACCAGCAAGTGAACCATAGAGGGGGGAGTGGACGCTATGGTGCCGCAATGCATGGCGGGGTAGAAACGGCTCCCGGAGGGCCAACTTGATTCCTCCCCAGGCAGCCGCCCTGCGGCCTCTTTAGGCCCCCCGCACGCACCTGTCCCGGGTGCAACGCGCACGTGGCCACAGCAACACCGGCAGCGGCAGACAGTCCTGCGCCGCGGCAGCCTCCTAGTTACCGGCCACGTGACTTCCGGTGGGTAGGCCAAACGCCTTTCAGGGGCGGGTCGAAGGGGGTTGATTGACATATGGACTCTATCAGGTGACCAGGGCTGCCCCAATCCCCGAGCGAGGAGCGATACGGGTCTCGCTCTGTGGTGGGGGCGGGCGAGTTGCTACAGGCTGCGCCATTTTGCTCTTGCCAGACCCCCTCCCCCGTCCCATTGACTCCCGTGATTCCCCCCAGGCTCGCGGGGGCAGCGACGTCCGGTCCCTGCCCAGCCCCGCGCCGGCCTGACGCGCTCTGCCCTGGCCGCAGAGCCGACTCCTGACGCTGGTGCCCGAGAGAGCCCGGCTGGGGGTTCCGCTCCCCCCGGGCCCAGGGCCGAGCGAGCCGGAAACGTGCTGGGGGGAGAAGGGCTCGGGCTCGCTCGGCCCCCGCCCCGGCAGCCAGGCCCGGCTGGGGGACGGAAGCCGCTGCCGCCTCAACCAGCCTCTCGCAGGCAGTCACCGAGCAGCTGGCATGAGAAGTGGCTGGTGCCGCCCCCTCCACGCCTTGCCCAGGCCCGGCTGCCAGGAACGGGCTGGGGTGCAGGCACAGCGGGAAAAGCACAGAGCCCCCTTCATCCCCCCGCCAGGCCAAGCAGAAATGGGGCTTGACCCTGCAGGCCCTGCCTACGCGTCACCTATGCCTGGCAGGATGTGGCGGGACAGCACCTTGGGGAGCCAAGCCAGGGCCGTGACTGACCCAGCCATGAGGCTGCCAACACCCAACCATTGGAGGGCCTGTGATGGTCATTTTGTCCCACCTTTATGCCCTGCCAGAGCAGCCTATTGACCCATCTAGTCCAGTATCCTACCTCTGTTGTTTATTATCATGTTTTTTTATTACAGGAGCCTCTAGAAGCCCTAACTGGGCTCAGGCTCCCATTGTGCTAGGCAGATGCAGTTCTTGCCCCAGACAACTTATTAGAAGATGAACAATATACAAAGAGTGGGGGAAAGGGACATAATCAAACACATAGTTGTTAATAACAATATTTTGTAATAATGTCAGTAAATATCAGATTTTGTAGCAACCTTGCATGGAGCTTGGAGGGAGGAGCACAGCTTGCAGGAGGAGGTATCCGGAAGTCAGTCTGGGTGCACGTGGCTGGAATGCTTCTCCCTCCTGCGGTTTCAGCATCTCTGTAAATAGTTCTTTGAATAAAAATCCAATTTAATTTTAGAAACTTGGATCCTCTGCTGTTACTAGGCCGCGTGCAGTTTCCCTATTGTTCCTCAGCAGCTTGCTCCAATTATCCTTGGTCCCCTCCTGTCTGTGCTACCCTGGTACTGAATTCTAGGGCAGATTCAGGTAAAATGGAAGTTGAAAACAAATCATACAATCAGTGCAGTGTCCCTTTGTATGATTTATTTTGCTAGTAAATTCAGTTTATTTTATTTATACTGCCATAACTTTTCAACATGCCACAGTGTTTGCTACTGATAATGCCTATTTGCATTGCAGTTTTCAGGGGAGAGCTGTGGGTTTGACAGTGCAGTGGTAGAAATTTGGTATCCAAGAAGGTATGCGAGTCAGTTTATGTTTTTAACACAGGCTGTTTTAAGCTTTTCATACTGAAGATAGGCTGAAACTTCTTTTTACCTTCCCCTTGTAGATTGGGACATAGGTGACCTGAAACTATGGAGGGGCTTCAACTCCTAGTTCTCCTTCCCCAGGAACTCTTGACAACCATTAGCCTTCCCATTTTCCCCTACCCAATATCTGCCATTTCATCCAACCATGATGAATATCTACATTAGCTGGATGTTTCTGCTAAAATGATCATCTGGAAAATAGTTAAGTGTTCTCATTTCAAGTGTCATTGTTAGCCTTTGATGTTAACATTACTATAGAGATAACAGTTCACACCTCTCCCAGAGCTGTTATTTCAGGCTGTTTGCATACTCAGGTGGTAAAAGATTTATATTCTGTTCACATCTGGAAGGTTTTCTTCAAAACTACAACAGCTAGAAACTTAGGACCAGATTCTTAGCCAGTATAAAGTGGGATAGGTTGTAGCTGTGACAATTAGGCCTTGTCTACACTACAGAGTTTTTTCAATGCAAGTTATGCTGACAATCAAAAAACAGTATAATTACATCACTTCTTGTTAACACAATGCGCCTTCTGTTGGCAGAGCGCATCCACAGTTGGTGCTTTAGCATCGACAGAGAGCAGTGCACGGTAGGTAGCTATCCCACTGTGCTACTTGCCACCTTCTGCAGCTAAGAGTTGTGGGAAGGTGGAATGTATTGCAGTGCATCATTGGAGCAGGCTCAACATCCCATGGTGCAGTTTTTTCCATCCCATCATTCCATGGGCTTCTGACTGCATTTCACAGCGTAGAGTCACACACAGTCTGCAAGCGGCTCTCTATGGGGAGATTAAGAACATAAGAATGGCCATACTGGGTCAGACCAAAAGTCCATCCAGGCTAGTATCCTGTCTGCCGACAGTGACCAATGCCAGGTGTCCCAGAGGGAGTGAATCTAATAGGTAATGATGGCTACCACGCTTCTCTGACACAAAAGTTACCCCAGTAACCTGCAATCTTCCTAGATTTTATGACTGGCTGTATTCTCAAGTAAACCAGTGTGTGTAGTACCTAAGTGCTGAAATGAACAAACAAAAACTGGGACCAAAAAAAGTTGCTCTCTAGCCCACCATAAATGTTCATAAGAAAGGCCATACCAGCTCAGACCAAAGGTCCATCTAGCCCAGTATCCTGTCTACCGCCAGTGTCCAATGCCAGGTGCCCCAGAGGGAGTGAACCTAACAGGCAATGATCAAGTGATCTCTCTCCTGCCATCCATCTCCACCCTCTGACAAACAGAGGCTAGGGACACCATTCCTTACCCGTCCTGGCTAATAGCCATTAATGGATTTAACCTCCATGAATTTATCTAGTTCTCTTTTAAACCCTGTTATAGTCCTAGCCTTCACAACCTCCTCAGGCAAGGAGTTCCACAGGTTGACTGTGTGCTGTGTGAAGAAGAACTTCCTTTTATTTGTTTTAAACCTGCTGCCCATTAATTTCATTTGGTGGCCCCTAGTTCTTATATTATGGGAACAAGTAAATAACTTTCTCCACACCTCTCATGATTTTATATACCTCTATCATATCCTCCCTTAGTCTCCTCTTTTCCAAGCTGAAAAGTCCTAGCCTCTTTAATGTCTCCTCATATGGGACCCATTCCAAACTCCTAATCATTTTAGTTGCCCTTCTCTGAACCTTTTCTAATGCCAATATATCTTTTTTGAGATGCGGAGACCACATCTATACGCAGTATTCAAGATGTGGGCGTACCACGAATTTATATAAGGGCAATAAGATATTCTCCCCCTTATTCTCTATCCCTTTTTGAATGATTCCTAACATCCTGTTTGCTTTTTTGACTGTCGCTGCACAATGCATGGATATCTTCAGAGAACTATCCACGATGACTCCAAGATCTCTTTCCTGATTAGTTGTAGCTAAATTAGCCCCCATCATATTGTATGTATAGTTGAGGTTATTTTTTCCAATGTGCCTTACTTTACATTTATCCACATTAAATTTAATTTGTCATTTTATTGCCCAATCGCTTAGTTTTGTGAGATCTTTTTGAAGTTCTTCACAGTCTGCTTTGGTCTTAACTATCTTGAGCAGTTTAGTATCATCTGCAAACTTCGCTACCTCACTGTTTACTCCTTTCTCCAGATCATTTATGAATAAGTTTAATAGGATTGGTCCTAGGACTGACCCTTGGGGAACACCAATAGTTACCCCTCTCCATTCTGAAAATTTACCATTTATTCCTACCCTTTGTTCCCTGTCTTTTAACCAGTTCTCAATCCATGAAAGGATCTTCCCTCTTATCCCATGACAACTTAATTTACGTAAGAGCCTTTGGTGAGGGACCTTGTCAAAGGCTTTCTGGAAATCTAAGTACACTATGTTCACTGGATCCCTCTTGTCCACATGTTTGTTGACCCCTTCAAAGAACTCTAATAGATTAGTAAGACACGATTTCCCTTTACAGAAACCATGCTGACTTTTGCCCAACAATTTATGTTCTTCTATGTGTCTGACAATTTTATTCTTTACTATTGTTTCAACTAATTTGCCTGGTACTGACATTAGACTTACCGGTCCGTAATTGCCGGGATCACCTCTACAGCCCCTTTTAAATATTGGCATTACATTAGCTATCTTCCAGTCATTGAATACAAAAGCTGATTTAAAGGACAGGTTACAAACTATAGTTAACAGTTCCGCAATTTCACATTTGAATTCTTTCAGAACTTTTGGGTGAATGCCATCTGGTCCCAGTGACTTGTTACTGTTAAGTTTATCGATTAATTCCAAAACCTTCTCAAGTGACACTTCAATCTGTGACAATTCCTCAGATTTGTCACCTACAAAGGACGGCTCAGGTTTGGGAATCTCCCTAACATCCTCAGCCATGAAGACTGAAGCAAAGAATCCATTTAGTTTCTCCGCAATGACTTTATCGTCTTTAAGCGCTCCTTTTGTATCTCGATCATCCAGGGGCCCTACTGGTTGTTTAGCAGGCTTCCTGCTTC